TACCTACTCTATAAGTAGTTACTTACTTCTCTCTCTCTCTCTCTACTATATATATATATATATATATATATATATCATAAAAAATTTAACTATGTTTTGCATTCCTAAAAACAAATATACATTAACAGCACAATTAAAAAAATATCAGTAAAAATATTAAAAAATATTCTTTAGACATTTAGAAGTAAGAAAATGATATTTAATTTTGAAGTGATAAACCTATGAACTTTAATGATTGGAACTGATAATAAAATAATTGCTTGGGTGAAGAAAGTATAAAATGTAGAAAGCAAACAAGTTGAAACACCTACCTATTTAAAATAAGTTTTTCAACAAATTTGAATCAACATTTTGGGTAGTGGTCTTTTATCGAGCTTACATTGAGAACAGAAAACCCAGAAAAATGTTTTGTTCTCTTTGTAGATTCGATGAAGGGCCATTGCCAAAAACAGTTTCCAAATTTGCCAGTACACTTAAGTTGGGAAGTTTATTTTGTTCAATTTAATGATTGGAACTTTAGGAAGTGATTTGCATACTAGTTTATATCATTTGATATCAGCAGTAAAGTTTAAAATCAAATATGTAATAATAAAGCTTAATGAAGTAAATGTAAATTTTGGTACCTCTGCTGTCTTTTTTTTTTTTTAAGGTGTGTTTATTCTTTTGGTTTCTTGAGTTTTATGTGGGTAGGAAAAATTTTTAAATCAGTCACAAAAGGTTAAAATATAAAAGCTTTTCTCCTACTACGAATATCACAACCTAACTTAAGTGACTTTATAATGTCACTGGGGTACACTTAGTTTTAAGATTAAACAAGGAAAAAAAAAGATAAATATAAATATTACAGAAGTTTACCTTGATGCATTTTTTCACTTTGATATTACAGAATCAAATCTAGTTGGGCTGATCAAGTAGAACAAGATGAAGGTATGTTACATTTGCGATAGGTATTGTTAAAAGTATTGACAATGTATTTTTATAACTTAAAATCTTCTAAAATTTAGAGGAAATTTAAGATAATTATCCTCAAAATGTACCTTATCAGTTGCTAAACAGAGAGGAGATCCTCATGACTAAAAGTGAACTCAACTTGGGATTGGAAATAAATACCATCAGCTGGCTGCAAATGTTTAAAATTCATAACTAGAATCTAGAATGTTTATAAGTACCATTTTGTGACTGTAGCTAAAATTGTGATAAGAATTAAAATTGTGAAATAAGAAAAGTGGCAAAATCATAAATTTCAGCCTTTTTTGTTTGTCTGCCTTGCAGCAGAAAAAGTAAATTCTAAAAATGCATAGAATGATTTTCAGATAGTTTTCTAAACAATTGGTTTATGTTTGTAATTGTTCAAAAAATTACTATGTCTTTTTGTGGTGTCTGCTTTCATAGATGATTTGCCACCACCATCTGAGTGCATAGAAGGTGACACAAAAGTGGTGACTGAATATAAAGTGAATGATGAAGGAAAGAAAGTAAAGGTAAATTTTGCTTAGAAACTATCAAAACATTGTTTTCTTTTATGTAAACACTTACTTATTTTATTGTAATAATATTTTTCAATTTTCAGGTATTTCACTGACAAAAAATGGTGTATTCCTATATTACTTAAAATTAACGGTTCCTATTTACTACCTTTTTTACTATCTCTAGTGGAACCATTTTCAACTAAACTTTTTATTTGTTTGAACTATATGTATAGCTGTTTTTAGCATCATTTTGCTTCCAACTTTGGATATGAATCCCAAATAATATTTGTTGTATTAGCTATTCAAGACAAACTTAAAGTGATTGAGTGACTGAACAAAGGGAAACAGCAACAGTTTTGGCAAATAAGTATAGAATAGGGAAATCAACTGTAATGGACATTTAAAAAAGAACAGGAGTTGTAAGTTGGTAGAAAGCTTGAATGCATAGAAGGCAAAGTTAGCCATGAGAAATGTAAAAGACGATTAGCAGCTACCAGTAGTTCATGCAAAAGTAGCAGAAAAATCAGTTTCTTTGGCCATCAATACAAAAATCATTTTAAGTTTGAAATGGAACTTTAAGTAACTTAGGCAAACATTTAAACACTTAGGAAGTAAACTAAGAACTGAAAAATATAGGCCTCACTAGTGATAAAGTTTGAGTATATATATATATATATCCTTATAATTTAATTATCTGTGCTTTGTTTATACTATTATAAATCCTTGATATTATTATTCACATTGCATTGAACTAGAGTTCAGACTACCAAGCTTGTGGACTTACTTTCTATTACAAGTTACATGAAGAAAATTTAACATTTAAAAAAGACATTCATAAATGTTTATAATTGTTGTGGAAAAAGGTTTATATGAAAAATACTTGAATGACTTCCCTTGTTTGTTTAGGTTGTTCGTTATTACAAGATTGAACATAGGAAAGTCTCCAAAACTGTGGCAAAACGGAAGGTAAGTGAATGAAGTAATACGAAACTTTCATTAACTCTTTCTACAATGGCTCGGTTGATTTGACTAACCACGTGACCTCTTTATACTCGATTAAAGTCTTTATAGACTTGATACTACTACTAACTTTTAATATACATCTTCATAAAATTTGGCAGTCTTTCAGTAAACATATATAAGTATTTTACATACAAAAAAGTCATATTTTTTAATGAAGTATTTTAGATAAACTAAAAAAAATTGTTCGTAACCATATCAAGTATTTGTTTTGAATAGTCTGTGTGCAAAGTGATTTTCATGTAAAGATTACAAATACTTTTCTTCATCTCAAAAACCTCAAATTTCATTTGTGTAATCTCTAAAACCTAAATACATTTCAAACATTTGTTTTCAGTATAACTTTACATTTTATCCATTATTTTCTGTACCCTAACTCAGTATAGGTTTTTTCAATTTGACCAACCTCATAACCACCAAAAGAAAACTGAAATTAATCCAAATTACCCTTTTTTCCTTCTAGAATGACTTCAAATTGTAACATGAAACTACATTCGTTTATCCTA